AATCACACCATTTGATTCAGCTGTGTTGGAGTAGGGATGCATCTAAAAGCTGCAGAATAGTAGCTCTCGAGGACTGGGATTGGGCACCCCTGGTTTAGAGCATGTCTGAAAACAGAAAACTCTGCAAGGAGACCAGATAAAGAAGTTCAAAGAAACAGACAGAGTCAGAGAAACAGACAGAGAAAAAATGAGGGTTAAAGCTGAAATGGTTTACATGTGAAATGTAGCTAAGGAAAAAAAAGAAGAAAAGGGGAAGTAACTTTTCAAGACAACTTTTCAAAAGCTCTTTTTATGTTTGAATGCTAACCTTATTTTATTTATTACTGTGTTATTATTAGAAAAACCTCCAGTTTGCTGTGAGAAATATGAATAATTGTTGTTGAAATACTGTTGAAATGTACTTTCACTTTACACTCCTTTTTTTATAAGCAAGACCTGCAGCACTGCATGTGGCAGAAGTCACTTCCCAAAGACTTCTTTCACACAGCACGCCACTGATGATGGGTAAAGTGAAGGTAGTTATCAAACAGTCCTAACATGTTAATAAGGAATGAATGTTTACATGATATACACAAGATTTCCAACAATGTTGCTCTTTAAATTTGCTCTCAAGCTTTTCAACTTGAAATGAAATCCAAAGAGAAATATGAGGAAAACATAGTTCACATAATCATTTGTTATGTGTAAATTGCAAAGTAAACCTTCTTATCTTTGTTGAAGTTTCAGAAAAATATAGTAGAGAGAATCAAAGCATCAGAAAGAATGTCGTTGTTTTTTCAGGACGTGAATTTATTTTAGTTTTTTTGGTCAACATGTCCCATCACAAATCTCCCACTGTCCATATGCTGTGTGATTAATAACTAAGTATGTAATTCACTTACATTTCTATGGCACTAGATTACTACAGTCGTCCTTGGGGCACTTAATATTGTGAGTATAGACCTGACAATATTAAAGACAGAAGCCGAACCAGCCTCTATAAGCACCCGTCAGGCAGTACTGATGGGAAAAAAAGCCTAAAAAAAATCCCGCTCAAAAACATCAGGAAGGGCAGCCATCTGCCTCACCTGGTTGCGGTTAAGGGAAAGCAAAGAAAAAAAAATGTCTGAATTCTCTGTTTTACTATTATCTTTTCATTTTATTTACAGATAAGCAGAGGAGGAGAAATATAATAATACGAGCCAAGAAATGAAGGTTTCTCAGCAGCCGGTTTCTTTGAACAGCAACACTGTAATAACAGTTTAAGGCACCATGTATTGATCACAGATTTCCACTGTGTTATTGTTGTACTTCTTTTAGCACAATAGGACTGGTATCTTCCATGTGGCGTGAACTTAATGTAAAATTTTCAAAGAACTTGAATAAGTGTGGATCAATATGAAATATAAATGTATGTGACTGCAAGTCATCCACTGTTTTATCTCACAGTAATTAGACAGTTTCACTTTTCATCTCTTTTTACATTCTCACTCATACAATCTCTTTTGTCACTACACTCTCAGTGGGAGAAATTACTGATTTTCCCATTCAGTTTAGTATGTAGGACCAAAAACAATCAGTGGTGACTACAATTCTCCATTTGACACTTTCTATGTGTTAAATTTAACACTGACACTAACCTGTGTATTTTATAATCCAGAATCTCAGTAGTTAAGACGGTCTATTTCATGGTAACACCATTTTTCCAGAAAAATGATGAACTGAAGGCCTGAAACAAGAAGCAGTGTGAGATAAATAAGGATCGTATTAAACTGTAAATCATACAAAGCCAAGTTAATAGAATCAAAAGAATAAAAATAAAGTGTTGTGAATTCAATTTAAATACTTTCTTGATTCAACAGGTCTGGCAGTATTCAGCCTGGGTGTGGGTTGTGAAATTAAACTCAGCTTAAATGTTGAAACCAAAAATAGCTTTCTCACACAGGGCCAGGTGGCTTTGGGTAGGTTTTTTTTCCCTCTAAATAAATAACATTATCATTTAAAAACTGCAATTTGTATTTACTTGGGTTATTATTGTCTAATATTAAAATTTGTTTCCTGATAGGAAATATTTAAGAGTGACGTATATACAAAACCTAAGAAATCAGGAAGGGGTTAAATATTTTTTCACAGCACTGTATGGAGCTGGGAATGACTGTTGATCTTGCCTTAATGATGCATGCTCCCCATGTATCACATTGTACTGATATTAATGCCTCACTCTTGGATCAGCAAGGACAGTTATATGGTGAGTGACTGTAATATGGAAAGTTGTTATTTATGTATATTGGCCATGTATATTAAAAATTATAATAAGCACAGTTGTTTTTGCTGTTAACTTACTTTAATCTACAATATATCAATAAAATGCATAATGTCACACATGCAGCTCAAAGGATGTTGCTAATTAAAACAGCAAGCAGGGCATTTGCTCTCGCTTCTGTTACAGTTTTAGTTTTAGCTTTCATCATGTTTTATGTTATTAAAGCTTACATTATTATTACTTTTTATTTCAAGTGGTTTTAATAATCAAAATTATTGCCACGGTTAGTGAAGCAAAACGTGTGAGGACCCAAGCGCAGACACACGGAGATGAGGCAGGATAAACAAAAAGCTAGCCTTTATTGTTGGATGCAAAAACACTTCAAAACAACTAACGAAAACCTAAACTGGGGACAGCTAGACATGGAACTGGAAACATAGAACTACAGAAAACCTGAAACCTCGAAACGCTTGGAGAGATACACATGGGATGATGAACAGAGGTATGCAGAGATAACGCAGATGATCTGCCGAGGAACAGAGGTCAACACGCACAGTACACACAGAGGGAAACGAGGAAATGCCACACAGCAGGGAGACACAGCTGACACTAATCAGACAAGAAGAGACCAGGAGGAAGCAAAACAGATTACACTGACATAGGACATGGACTTTCAAAGTAAAGCAGGAAACACACAAACATGGAGGCAAGGATGACAATGAAGACAGAACACAGAGGCCTGAAACGTGGGACAGGAAGGTGTAGACATAACACAGAACACAGGGGAGGCACATGATCAAAACCTAAAGACTAGAAGTCATAATATAGTAAAGAACGAGGGAGCTGGAAATACTGAAAAACGAAACCAAGACACTAGCAGTGAAAACTTATGATGAAATCAAAGATCAATAATAGTACAAAACTCAAAACACTGGGTCGCAGACCCAGGACTGTGACAGTTATTATCCAAATTAACCTTAAATCGTAAAAGGCCATTTAATCTTTCAACAATATCAGCAGCTGGCTGCCATTGTAGCTCACCTGATTGAGAAGTTGTCCCATGTACTGAGAGGATTAGTCATTATTGCAGAAATACAGCTATTTCTTATTAACTGATGACAGCAGTTCTCCTAAGTGAAGGTCTAGAGCAAACAATAGTCAGGCTAAATTTTAGCTGTGTTGCTGCTGTAATGTAAAAGTGACCACTGAAAGACTCTACAGGACGTATATTGTATGAAACCTGCGGGTTGGCACTTTGGTGAATGTATTTGTTTGAATTATTGTCATTTATAATACAATATTCAACACTCAGTTTGCCCCTGCAGAGAATCAAGATTCTGTTGTTGTTGTTGTTTATGGAGTGCATGCTTTCCTATTAAGAACTAATGAGCCGTGTGTTTTGTAACTTGTTTATAGCCAGAGTGAATTTGAAAAAGGTCTCGGTGTGTGACAGATTAATTATATTTTTCTTATTTACGTTATGTTTTGTATTACAAGGTGTCAACGGGTCTTGTGGACGTAGTTTAAGTTTGTAAATCTGCCTGCAAAATTACAGATGCTCTAGAGGCGAAGCTTAAAAGAATGTAGAGTTGGCAGCTGGTCCCGAGTAACCAGTAACCAAGCCCTAACTGACGAACTGACAAATCATTGCCCTTTATCTACTACAGTCAAGGTAAAGAGAGCATTGTTCTCTTTGTTTAAATTACAAGTGAATAGAAAAGTCAGAACATGCACAAGTTACAATTACAGCTATCTTAACTAACAACTGTCCGTCAGAATAATCGTAATGTTTCAATGCATGAATTTACATGAATCTTCAGATTCCAGTACAGCAGCAGTGTTTATTTATAAGAATATAGTTTTATTATAAGTTTATTTATAAATTAAATATGAATAAATATAAATAAAATTCATATTTGTAGTAAAGTCAAAGTATGTTTTAGCATGAAAATAGAGTTGAAGTATCTAAAGTAAAAGTACTCTTAAAGCAAAAAAAATCTTAAAAGCATGCATACTCTTATACAATACAACAGATCAAACATATTAATTAATTAATTTGTATATAATGTGGATCATTTTAATTATTTATATACTGCAGGGCAGCTTTATTTATATTATAGCAGCACAATAAATTTGTAGATATATGTTTTCAAAACTTTAAAATAAATGGAAAGTGTTATATTTGCATCAGGAAGTAGAAAGAAGCGTAGCAAAGAAATATTACACATACATTTATCTATTGTGATGTGTAACATATTTGATACATGAGATTTTATGCGTTTTTGAAGCCTCTGCATCATCAGCGGGATTTTTTTCCACCATTGCAGTTGTACCAGAGCACAAAAGCTGGGTTTCCTCATCTGTGAAAGCATCAGCAAAAGGACAAAGCCAGAACAACAGGGTGAAATAAAACTCCACCCCATTGCTGACTTACTCAACCTGAGACAACCAATAAAAGTGAATTCACAGATTCATGTGAGCAGTTGTGCAGAGAATACAGACACACACTGACAGATAATTACTTTCACTATCAGCATAAACTACGAAGTCTGCTCTGGAAACGAGCTGCAGAAAAGAGCTCCTGATACTGTGAGTACTAGAATGTTTGTGGAGGTCATTGAGGGGGGAAAAAGATTAGGTGGGTAAAGGAACTTTAAGATTTTTTTTATCTGTGTATCTGCTCTGCTTAAAGCGTCTTTCAGAGAGAAAATGACCACACAGTCAGAAGACCATCTCTCCTGTCCCGTCTGCCATGACATCTTTGAAGATCCTGTCATCTTGTCATGCAGCCACAGCTTTTGTAAAGCCTGTCTGCAGAGATGGTGGCTTGACAAACCCATAAAGCAATGTCCGGTTTGTAAGACGATATCTTTACAGAGTAATCCACCCCGTAACCTGGCTTTGAAGAACCTATGTGAGGCGTATTTACAGAACACAGATCAGAGAGCTTCAAGAGGTTCCCAGACACTTTGCACTGTGCATTCTGAGAATCTCAGGCTCTTCTGTCTGGACCATCAGGAGCCAGCGTGTGTTGTCTGTCGAGATTCAGCAGTGCACGTCAACCACAGATTCAGCCCCATCAATGAAGCTGCGCACACTCACAAACAGGAGCTCCAGGAATGTCTGAAGCCTTTAAAGGAGAAACTGAAGCTCTACGAGGAAGTTAAAGGGAAATGTGTTCAAACTGCAGAACACATTAGTGTTCAAACCCAGGAGACAGAAAAGCAGATTAAGCAGCAGTTTACGAGGCTTCGCCAGTTTCTACAAAACGAAGAGGATGCCAGGATTGCTGCTCTAAAAGATGAAGAGAAGCAAAAGAGTCAGAAGATGAAGGTAAAGATTGAAACTCTGAGCAGAAAGATTGCAGATCTTTCAGGCACAATCAGAGCCACAGAGAGGGAGGTGAGAGCTGAAGACATCTCTTTCCTACACAACTACAAAGCTGCAGTGAAAAGAGTCCAGCAGCTATCCGTGCTTGATGTTCCTCAACTGGTCTCAGGTGCTCTGATTGATGTTGCTGAACACCTGGGTAACTTGTCCTTCAACATCTGGAGCAACATGAAGGACATTATTTCATATACTCCTGTGATTTTGGATCCAAACACTGCTCATCCAGATCTCATCTTGTCTGAAAATCTAACCAGTGTGAGACGTGCAAGGAAACAGAAGGTTCCCGAAAACCCTGAAAGGATTTATCTCTATCCTTCCGTCCTCGGCTCTGAGGGCTTCAACTCAGATATTCACAGCTGGGATGCTGAAGTTGGAGACAGTCCAGTCTGGGCACTAGGAGTCTTTTCGAGATCTGCCAACAGTGAAGACAAAAAATGTAACTTATTAAAACTTGTTTTCTGTGATGGTGAGTACACAGCAAACTCCAGTGACGGCCCCCCAACTGTTCTCTCAATAAGAAAGAGATTTCAGAGGATCAGAGTTCATCTGGACTGGGCCAAAGGAAAACTGTCATTCTCAGATCCTGATACTGACACACACATACACACCTTCAGACACACTTTTACTGAGACACAGTTTCCATATTTCAACTCAGTGAATCCACACCCTCTAAAGATATCACAACGTCCTCTCCATGTAGTTATGTAACATGTGTGATGGTCGTTGTTGACAATAATCTTTCTTCTTTCACTTAGACACACTTCATGGATTAGCAATGATCCCAGCAGAAAGAATGTAGACCTGGCTGTTGATCCTGTGCAACCAGTAACCCGTCAGGAACCTCTTGCAATTGTACCATAGATTCTATAAATAAGGATGTAACAACTATCATTGTTTGGTGGACTGAAGCAAACCTAATATTATAATACATGACAAAATCCATCAATTTTCTTCTGCTTATCCACTAAGCAAAATGAGCATTATGCTATATTCAATAATAAGATTTCATTTCTTTTAATTAGTGAGAGGGTTATTTTCCTGACGCAGCAAGACGACTTGTTTGGCACCCATTAATGCAGGTTTAAGGGATGTCAGCATTAAAGCCCTTTCACAATAAAATGTATTATGCACTGCACTGACTACTAGGTTTGAGGGGACCCCCAAAAAAGTTTTTGTGATCACTCGTGGCTTTTATGTGTGCTATAAATGCCCACTCCTGTCACTCTGCATTTCTATTGGTCATGTGCATGTATGTCCACCAATGTGTGGTCAAAGTGTTCCCCACCTGGCTCGCTTATGCCACACTGCAGTCTGCTACATACAGCAGGAAACCATTCTTGCTTAAAGAATGGGTGTAACAGCAGAGGGGTACATTAGTCATGTTCCATGTAAAAGGTTTTTTAGCTTCATTTATTTTACCCAAATGTTGATCTTCATATACGGATGGGGCTTTTATCATTATAGGTGTGCTCATGATAATTATTTGCATGCAAAGAGTGATCAGAAAAAGATGACCCTTTATGCTTTTGCTCTTTTATTTATGTAAGGAAGTATTAAAGGAAGTAACTGTACTTCTTCAACCTGAAATTGCTAAATATCAATCTACATGTTATGGTTTGTTTATGTCTGTGTTAAGCTGCAAAGTAAACAGTGATCTGGTTATGATGTATAATGCAAAATTAAAAAAATACCTGATGTGCAGATGAAACAGATTTCAGCTGACTGTCTGAACATGACTCCTTTCATTTTTTATTCTCTTAGCACAGAAAGCAGCAGAGACCAAACTGTGGCAGCTGCATGGTGAAACTTTGTCTTTCTCTCCTTTGCTGCTCATTGTTGTCGGATTGCATTTAAGGTGACAACAGTCAGCAGAGAGCTTCGGTCGATCTGCGGCTCAGGAGATTTAACCTGTAGCTGTAATCGCTATCGACATCACAGCAGCTTCCTCCTTCCTGCTGTGCGCCTAAGTGTGTAAATGGGACAGTTCTCACCAATTACAGCACTCATTCCACCTTGGGGGCGTAGCAAAATAAATTTGGAAAGCTCTGAGAAAATGCAGAGGAGGGCAAAGCAATGTTTCTCATTGTTTCTAATTATGATTTCTTTCGTGAGTCCTAAAGAATGTGTACTCTCCATTCCATTATATTATGAAGTACATGAAGGTAATCAGTGGTCATTGTATCTCATCTAATTATTACACCCCTTTACATGTCTGAGAGATGTGACAGACTAAACATTACCCATTGATCAATCATGCTTACAATACTTTAATGTAAACAGACAATGGCAACTTTAGGGGTGTATACAACACTGGCTGTGTTGTGTTACTCAATTTCACAGTTCTGACTAACAGACACTGGCAGCGTTATTCATTTTTTGCTTCACCAGTTCTTGCAGTTGTACGTAGGTGAGTGGTAGGAAAAAAGGCGTTTGGCAGAGCGCTCTGTGCTCATAGGGGAGACCGGGGATAGTTGTAACGTGGGTCAGTTGTAACACTTCCAATTCCTCCAATCAGGGCTAAGTTTCAAATGATGTGACTCATCCTGTGCATGCCCAATTCAGTTCTGCTATCACATGTGAAAAATCAGCACATTTTGTCAAACACAGACAATTTAACACAAAAAAAGTAATCTGTATGCCAAAAAGTAAGTTTTTCTACTTTATTTCAATTTCTAATAGCATTATCTGCTTTGCAGTTAAACTCATCAAACTTAAATTATGTTATTTGTATGTCTATGGGGATATATTCTGTGTAGGTCTTTAGTGCTAATGTTTTAGCCGTTGGCTGTAATGTTAGCTAGTTCATGGCTATAGGAGTCTGGGTCAGTTGTAACAGCAACAGTCTGGGTTAGTTGTAACAATAATGCAGATGTTACAACTTACCACACTATTACTTTAACTTATATTAAACAAGTTGGGGCAACGACATCAGCAGAGAGAGGTTCACTGGTCGCATTTGTATATGCGGTTAATGCCATTGGCAACACAATTCCTCCACTGTTTGTGTTCCCACACATACATTATGCAGACCACTGTGTCAGAGATGGACCAGTAGGAAGTACTGGTAGTGGAAATAAATCAGGATGGGTGCAAGAAACAGATTTCCTCATCTTTCTGAAGCACTTTGCAAACCACACCAAGGTAAGATAAAAAGTAATGGAATTGCGATGCTGGTGAACAACTACATTTTCTCAGCTTCATTGTTATGTTCAAAATTGGTGCAAGAGTTGTAGGTTATAATGCCCACTGAGCCAATGAGGCCAAACTCAAGGAAGACCAACCAAAATTAATGAAATATTCAGTTGCAGAAAATTCCATAATTTGTCTTTTTTGGGGGGTTGGAATATGTTCAAAAGCTAGATTTCTGCATTCTGTCACACACACACATAGCTACATACATGGCTCTAAGTGCATTCATGTGTTGAATAAACAAAGATTACATGTTAATGTTTTGTCAGTACCCTTATTTCATTGTGTTACATTTTACCCCAGGATATGTTACAACTAACCCAGACTATGGGGTTAATTGTGACATTTCACTCTTTGTGTTTGAGACCATACCATGCAATGGGTAATTGTGCTGCAGAGAAAATAGCTGCACTATTTAATAGCCGAGACATGTAAATACTTTGCATTACATTTTGAATCCACTACCTTAAAAGAGCTCCAATTTACAGACAGAAATGTCAAAAATGTTACAACTATCCCCGGTCTCCCCTACTGTTCAACCATGCCAGACTTGAGAGAGCAGTCAGGTATGACTCCACCCGTACTGTGACCTCCCAGATGCAGCATCCATGTTTTAATGTTTTATGACACACTGTGTCACCCACTGTTGGCCGCACCCTAAAACATCTTAACTGGGCTTTGATCAGGTTGATTCTGTGTAGTCAAAAACCAGCACGAGATTGACACTGCACAATTAACTGCAGAAAACAGTTACCAGAAAATTCAGTATTTGTGAATAATGATTGGTAAAAGTGAGCAGTTATATCTTTCAGCTGCTCCTGTTAATGGTCACCTCATTGAATCACCTGCCCCTACAGCAACACTCAGCATGACCTCCTCCACTACATCCTTGAACCTCCGCTGTGGTCTTCTTCTTTTCTTCCTTCCTGGCAGCTCCATATTCAAGATCCTTTATCCAATATATGCAGTATTCCTCCTTTTCACACGTCCAAACCAACTCAGCCTGAGCTGTCTCACTGATGTACCCGTTTCCAGTGTTTGTACAGTATTATATTAAAAACTTTTGTATTAATAGGATATAAATTTCAGCCAACAGTGTTCTCTTGCATCAGTTTCTCCCTAATGCTTACAAAAAAGTGACTGACACTTTCTGCACTCTAACAGCCGTATGAAAAAAAAAGAACCCCAAAGGCTTCTAGAGATTATTACAACCTACAGTAACATTTGTTGCTGTAAATCCCTCTACATCTGTCACCGCCTGTTCATCATTTTGCTTTACTGTTTATCTAACTATGGTTATGGGAAGTTGGAGCCCATCTCAGCTGAAACTGAACCTGAGGCTATGTACTCTCTGGACTCTGAAGCTTCGTGCTCTGAGGCAAAAGTGCTAACCACCTAACTCTTTCCGTCCATACAGAAATTATAATGTAGTTATAAAGACATTGAGTTAAGAGGAGATATGCGAGGAAGGAAAGGCTGACCTTAGACTTTACTTCATCGGCTCAAGCTGTTCTTTGGAAAAGTTGCAGCATATGGTAAGTTGCATTATTCTTTAAGTAATATTCTGATTATAAACCCGGAGCCATCCCTCCAGCAGTTTGTAGTAGGTGTTGATGAATAATGCAAATTGCTTTGAAATCAGATTCCTTCTTCTTCTTTTCTATGATTTTCTGCCATTTCTGAGCTCTGGAGAAAATACTACAATCGAGAACATTTTTTTAGTTTATTAGCAGAAATTCCCAGAAGTCAGAAATTATTACTCAGTGGATTTATAATGGGTTTACAACACATGGGTTTACCGGCCAGTAACAACAGCACTATGGTAACTAAAGACCCATGGTGTTTTTAGAATATATACACGGTTAATTTATGTGCAGTATTAGAATAAAAAGTGAGGGTGTTTTGATTATTCTACTAATGATGTCCACCCTCTGTATTTATGTATCAAACCATTCTGTTTCTCTGTCTGTGAGTTGCATTTACGCCTTTAATCTTTATAAGCACTGTGGCCTGAGGGGCAGAGTGTGTGTTAGAGTGTGTGTGCGAACAGGTGATGCAAATAGACCGTGACAGCAATAATGCTCCGTGTAATGGAAACAACCAGCACATCACAGTGGTGGTTCATTCTGCTCTCAGCTTCAGTTTGCTCTGTGACTGTTACATTTAAAACTCACCTGTTCAGTCCTACATGGGTGGAGGTCTAATAGGTTCAAGTTGAAAGTGCATCAGTGGGCAGGAGAGCAAGACACAGCTGGATTTCCTCTATAGTTTTGAAGTCCAGTGGATTTAATATTTCTGCAAATCACCATTATTTAATTACTACAATATTGCTTTATAGGCAAATTACTGTTTAGTAGATTGAGCAAGAGACGGTCTTTAGAGAGACAGTAATTCTGATATGGGAGCCAAAATGTGAATGCGTAGGGACCAATCGTGGTCATTGACACTGTCAATGATTTTTTATCTCGTGTAAATATAAAATATATAAAAATATTTACATATCTTCATGAGATGATGAG